GGCGCAAATATTCAGCATGTCTTTCTAAGGCTTCCAGAAAAGTTTCAGAAAAGTATCTTCAGAACTTATTTTAAAACATTTTTACTATTTTGCAGTCCTTAGCAGTCCTGTTTTGCAGTCCTTATTTTGTCAACATAAAATTTTTCCAGAACATACTTTCCACTATAAACACCTGAAATTGCCATTTTTGAAAGTTTGCAATTTTTTTTTACAATTTTGTGCTACTTTAAGACCCTCGTCCCCCCTTAAGAGGGGACGCTGCACTTCGGGACCGAAAATCAGCCAAAAAATCGAGTTTTCGCGGACGTTCTTTTCGCGTTCCCGACATCATTGCGCACCTATTTACAAAATTTCATAGCCGAATACCATCAACTTTTATCGTTATTCAACTTTAAAAAACCGAAAACGGGCGTCCTGCCCTTTAAATTGAGGGCGAATAGCGCAGGTTTCGGCTCTACGATACGCGGGAACTACGCGCTCGATCGGCGCCATTTTGGTCTTGTTTGAAAGAACGCGTTTTCAGCTGGTTTTTTTTATTCAGTAAGCAACATTGAGCATTTCCCCGGCTCGAAAAACGGGGCCTCAAGGACGAAGAGCCGCGCTCACTGCCATTGGCTAAACGGCGCACGTGACTGAAATGGCGCTTTCCGGTTGGCTGGAAGCTCGCGGCTTGCGCCTGCATACGCGACCCGACGCCATTTTGAAAGGGTTACCGCTGTGACGCCTCGAAATCGGCAGAGCACTCTGAAGCTTCTGATCGTATCGTCATGCCTGGAAACGCAAAAAAGTATCGGACCGTGCACGCATTTGGTCGCAGGAAACGCAAAGGTCGTGGGAGAAAGTCTACGAAGTCATCAGAGCCCTTGGTTGACTCCGACGAACGATGTGTCGACGCTCCGCGGCCGTTCAGCGATGGTGCGACCCGAGCGCGTTGCCTCCGACGACGATGACGGTGAAGCGAACTCCGGGCGACTACGAATCGACGCCAAGGTGGTGACAAACGCCGAAGTTGAAGAAAATCATGCCCGGGAGAAAGCGACGCTCGACCGGCTTTCATCGGCGCCAGCAACTGCACGGAAAATTGACTTTTTCACCGCGAGTTGTAGCGAGGCAACCGCACAGGACTCGGACCACGCTGCTCCTTATCTGCTTATGCATCTAGATATCCTAAACGCGATAATGGGTGCCTTGTGTTGCAAAGCCTGCCACGGACCGGCTACGATCGTCAGGGGGGATCGGGACTACGGACTTGCCGTGAAAGTGCTAGTGCAGTGTGAAAGGTGCGGCGAGATCGCGAATGAATGGACTTCGCCCCGCGCGAACGGCACGAAAACGTGCAATCCGTTTGAAGTAAATCTTCTAGCTTCGAGGGCGATGGTGGCTACCGGCAACGGCCAAACGAAAATGAACGATATTTTCGCAACAATGGGCATCTCACACCGCGGTATGCACCACAAGACGTTTCAGCGGCATTTGAAGAACACGCTGGCACCCGCTGCAACGCGAGCGGCTTGAGTCCGCTATGAGCGAATGTGCGGAAAAGGTTAGAACAATTTATGATGACTTGTGCTTCGGTCACCGGGGCAATATGCCGTTAGCTACGACGGCACGTGGAAGACGCGAGGCCATTCTTCCCACATCGGCGTGGGCACAGTTTATCGAATTATTTAGTGGCTACGTGTTGGACTACGTCGTTCTTTCCAACTTTTGCCTAGGCTGCGAGGTGGGCCCAAAGCCTAGTAGTGAGGGCTATCAAGAATGGAAGGCTAACCACAAATGCCAAAAAAATACGAACAGCAAAGCGGGGCAAATGGAAGTGGAGGCGGCTCTAATTCTATTTCAGAGGTCGCTTGAACGCCATGGCCTGCGCTACACAACTATGCTGTCTGATGGAGACTGTAGGACATTTTGCGCCATACAAGACGCCAAGGTGTATGGTTACATTGACGTGCAGAAGGAAGACTGTATAATCATGTACAGAAACGGATGGGCACCGCATTGAGAAACCTGGTGCAGAAACAAAAGTGCGATGGGAAAAGAGGCCTTGGTGGGAAAGGCAGGCTCACAGGTGAGCTGATCACCAGGCTGAGCACATATTATGGCCGGGCTCTGAAATCGCATGAAGGTGACGTGGGCGAGATGCAAAAGGCTGTGATGGCCACATACCGCCACGTCACCTCCACTGATGAATGCTCGGACCACAGTCTGTGCCCAGCTGGTGAAACTTCATGGTGTCGGCACAATGCCGCAAAAGCAAAGGGTGAGCCCGACCCCATGCATGCCTACAATCTACCGAAATACGTGGCAGAGGCATTACTACCGGTTTATACCCGGCTTTCGGAAAGAGCCCTGCTTCGGAGGTGCGAACGCGGCAAAACGCAGAACTCCAACGAGAGCCTACATTCGGTAATCTGCAGTTTGGCCCCCAAGGAGCACCATGCGTCCCTGTTCGCTGTTGAAGCAGCTGTTGCATAAGCAGTGCTGCGCTTCAACACGAGCAATTTTAATTCTGCAACGGCAATCTTAGGTGAAATGGACATGAATGCGACAAGTACTGGTGCCAGGAGAGCGAGAGAAAAAGACCACCGTCGCAGCATTGTCTCCAACAAGAAAAGAACAGCCTCATTGGAACTCCGGAAGCTAGGTGAAGAGGAGGCATGAGCACAGAATGCATTCAGACTATGCTTCTGGTGCGTTTTGAGGTTGTCTTGTTGCATCTTCTGCAATAAAAATGTGTGCCCCGTTTTTTCTCGATTTCTCAAAACGACAATTTTCATGTGCTTCCCATTATGCCGGAGCAATATCTCTTGTTCTACCTGGGTTATCATTACGATTTCTTTTTTGTTTCGAAGATAAATGCAGGGGATGTGTCGTAAAGTAAGTTTTATTGTAATAATTTTTGGAGAAAATTCTCTAAATGGATCTTTTGTTTCAAGTGTAGATGGGGGAAATTTTTCATGTCATATTCAACATCCCACAACTTTGCTTCGAAATAGCCCAGAACAATGATTTATACTTTATTGCACACTGTGAACATACCGAATTGGTTCTATAGGTTGCACATCAATATCCAAGTTACAGTTAATTAGCTAATTAGGCCTTAATTGAAAAAGTCGCAGTTCATTATATCTTTAAAACTAATTGTCACAGCAAAACAAGAATTAGATTTTTGAAATCAGCAGTAAAATCTACATAGGCTCTCCAAATTTGACTGAGGTACTCGCAAAAATAAGAGTTCTTGGAAGGTGTAGCATCCCCCCTTAAAAATCGTGTTACTTGTCGTACTGGGCCTACTCCCACTTTTCAGACGAGAGCACTACTAACTGCTTTTGCCTGCTCTACCAGCATGTTCTTGACATTACTAGAGAGATAGCGCACTTGGCACCCCGCTCCTACAAGCGTGTACTTTGCTTACAGTGTGTGGTCATCGGTGTGTGCGTGCACTTATCTCATGGTGGAGAGATTGTACGCCTTGGTCTTTCAGCATGTGGGGATCTGAGGCGCGCCCGGGACAATTTCGCGGGCATTCCGCCACACGGCCACACCCTTTTGCTTTCCTGCTCTGTTAACACCACGTGGCGATAGATGGCGCCACGTGCGAGCACGGCACGCGGTACGCGCGCGCCGAGGGAGCGCTTTCTTTTCCATGGTCGGCGCCGGGTAAGCACGTGTTTTTCTTTGTCCGCGTCCCCTTTGGGAATCGCGGACTGTAGCCTGCCCGGGGTGACCTTGGGCACCCCGGCAGGCGTGTTTACTTGAGTGCTGGCTTCGGTAGCGTACGCTAAGCCCAGAGCGGTGCCTAGTGCTTGAAGTGGTCGTACCACAACGAGCCGCACTTGCGTTACGCCTACGCGTACGAGGTTTGCCCTAACACTCGCGACTAAGCCCATTGGCCATCGTGAGAGTGCGCAGCATAGCCGCGAGGGACCTTTTCCCGACCGGCGTGTCAAAGCTCGCCATTGCCAGCTGCGACGTGCTCGCAGTTTTCCCCTTATTGTGAACGTCCGGGTGCGGGTGCCTTTGCTACCCGCGTCCCGGGAGCGGACGTTGCACTGTTGTTCGGGGTGCCGCCAGAGGCAATAAAGTGTTGTGTACTTTTGCATTACAACACTGTCTATTTGCCGCGCCGCGCTAAACGGCTTATTAGTTGAGCGCGCGGAGCGGCGCACTACACGCGAGTAAACGGAGTAGCGGCCCTGTGGCTCGCTAAGCGTTATCCCGCGGTAATCGTCCGCTGCAGTTAGTAGCGGGGGTCACCATAAGCAGGACGATTACGTTTTAGTCCAAACGCGCCAGCTCACTGCAGAGTTCGCGAAAAGAGCGTGCTTTTCAAACACAGCTAAGTAACAATCGTCGTACTAGTTAGCACTCATCCTGTGTGTACATGTGTAGATACATTTCGTGCTTCCTTTATGTTTGAGCAGCATGAAAAGTGTTGAGCTGTGAACGTTGTTAATTTTTGCTCATCCTGTGTGTTTCTTTTGTGCATTGCTTCTTGAGCAGTGTTTCGATCTGGTCGTTGTTCGTGTAACATCCCAATTTCTCGCTATCCCACTCAATAGTTCACCCTTTTGCCAAAGCTTTTTTCTACAGGTTCCAGCTGACCAAAATAATTTTCCGGACCTATCGTAGTTCGCATATCTGATATTCTAGTTGGTTGCTTGTTTGATGAATAGAACAAATATTTCACACTGCAATCTTCGGACAAGATTTGTTGGCTCTCAAGTGGCTTGATCTCTGTTCTTGTCCTTCGATTTCTGTTTGAAATTTATAATCTGATTAGTGCAGTTATGCTACTTCACATTGCCCCCCACAGAAGATCAAATATGGAAACTGCATACTTGTTCCCGACCAATTCTCCATACCTGGCGGGGCTGGAATTATGCAAAAAATCCGTTGGTGCCTGAAGTTTTAAATTGTTTAACTGGAAAAAAAATGAATTGCTCTGAGTGTCGATGTGGGACATGTTGTAATAGAAGGATTTGATGGTCCTTGTGTAGGCAGACATAGAAGGTGGTGCCTTGGTGAAGAAGAGGAGCAAAAAGCTCGAGAAGAAAATCAAGGAGCGCCAGAAGTTGGCCAAGGTGGATCCCCTGCTCGAAGAGCAGTTCATGACTGGTCGAGTCAAAGGTTAGTAGTGTGAATTCCTAAGAATGGCAATTCTTATAAATCATAACAGTCTCCACTAAACCAGCGCAGAAAATGTGGTGCTTTGTAATGGGTGCAGTGAAAAGATGTCAACGGGTTGGGTAACTAGAGTGTTTTTGGGCTGTACAGTATCAAGATACAGGTGTCATAGCAGCATCTTAGATGCTTTTAGGTGTGTTGATTTCCTTAAAAATTTCATTTTTTCCAAGAATGGGTCGGGTGAGTGTAAGGGGAGAAGATCATGGGTCCTCAGGCCGCCCTAGGTGGCCAAAAGTCCTTGCACTTCAGTGACCCTTGTAGCACAGTTCATGATCTTGAGTTGGTCTTCTGGTTGTGAGCTGTACAGAACAGTCCGCCAATGCTCCCATTTCTCAGCCTCTGCAAAAAGGGTACTGGGCTTGTTTGTACTTTTTTAAAATCGAAACTCGTTATAGCAAAGTTGTATCTTACATGAAACTAACTTCGTTATATTTGAAAAATTGCTATAGAGGTTTATTTTTAACACTGTCTATTACAGGCTTATTTTTGAATTATTTTATTATACCCAGGTTCGTTATGTCGAGTGAGTTTATATGAGCAAAGTCTGCTTCTGTACTCAAGCAGAGATCGCAATGTGGTAAGGCCTCACTATGGTGAATTCGAGATACATTTGAAGAGTAATTGTATCTGAGGAGCAAAGTACTTTACGGTGTATTGTGACTCTGTTTTGCATGCTGGTCTTGCTAGAAATGAGATGCATTTACAAGGTAGAATAAACATTTCTTCGCTAAGCCAAGTAAAGGCACGCTGCTGGTTAGTGACAACCGGGAGTGAAGGGACCCTTGGAACAATATTGCCATTCTACAGGACTTGATGACTATGTTTATTCATTATGGCACAAGCTTGTGCACGCCTGCAGCAGTAGATACTCTTAGCGACTGTCTACCATACAGGAAAAATTTTTCTGATTGTGGCGCAAATGAAGATTGTTCGTCACATCAGTGGCGACGAGCTTGTTTTCGTGCCATAAAAATGTATAATTTTAACTTCGTGATCACTGGCGCCACTCAACAGGTAATGTGGTTAGTCTTGGCAATCTATTGTTAGGACAAGAATTCCTCCCAAGTAGACTTATTTTGCTTGAAAACAAACGCGTTCAACTTGAAATTGTATTTTATGCTCCTGAGGCAGCTTTAGGTTGCGCCTGGGACCAGTTTTCACGCATTAAAATATAGTCGTGTAGCGCTGCCAGCGGCGTGTTCACTTGCCATTGAGTTTCTCCGTCCTTCATGTCTTGTACCGGCCAAATCTCCCGGATTGGCCAAGAGATTCTCGGGCTTCTTCCGTTTGTATGGTTGTCATGAAAATATCTTAGAATTCGGAATTTCTGTGCGTGATCTGGCCACATTGACAAAAAAGCAGCTAAGTCCGCTCCAGGCTTTTCGAACTTACCCCATTTTATTGTACGAGACATTTATCAGTAGAAGCTCAGTGATGTGAAACCGCGACAGATACGAATTTGTGAAAATTTCCGGCCAAATTTCACTAAGTCAATTGGGCCTAAATTCGAATACCAAACACATTTCTTAATCTCGGCGGGTGATATGAACTTCAGTATGCAAACCGTCGAACAAAGGCCGAGAGCGGCGTACTCGAAACTTTCGAAGTACGCTTGCAACCGACGCACAATGTAGACAGTGCGTGCGAGCAGCGCACGCACTGTTTTTACGTTGCGTGGGATTGTCGTTGCCACAACCGCTGTGGAGGAAACTGCAATCGCTCTTGACAGGATCATGTGCGGCGACGACGTAACCGACAGAACCCCGAAAGTGTGTGCTCAGTCAAAGCAGCGCTGCTTGCCGCAAACTCTGCGCACAAAACTGCGGCAGATTCAATTGTAGATGGCATAAAACAACTTAGTTATAAAAACGCGTGCACAGCCAAGCACACGGGTATTGTAAAAGCAACTAAACTACCGTGTGCCGTAACTGCTGTGCACAAAATTGTGGTTGAAGCGACGCGATAGCGATCTACGAGTTCCGAGGGCGCGCAGCGGTGGATTAAAGACTGAAATACGTAAAAAAGAAGTCAGTTTCGCTGTATGGGCAAAGCAATAAATGCGACAGCAACAACTTGGAGTGTCACGCTAAGAACGGTAAGCAAATCGAAATGTACAGCACGCTGCTTTTGCACATGACGCAAGAAAACGATACACAGGATGAGAGCGAACTAACATCGTTTACCACTCGACACTTAAGGGGGGATGCTACACCTTCCAAAAACTCTTTTATTTTTGCGAGTACCTTAGTCAAATTTGGAGAGCCTATGTAGATTTTACTGCTGATTTCAAAAATCTAATTCTTTTTTTGCTGTGACAATTAGTTTTAAAGATATAATGAACTGCGACTTTTTCAATTAAGGCCTAATTAGCTAATTAACTGTAACTTGGATATTGATGTGCAACCTATAGAACCAATTCGGTATGTTCACAGTGTGCAATAAAGTATAAATCATTGTTCTGGGCTATTTCGAAGCAAAGTTATGGGATGTTGAATATGACATGAAAAATTTCCCCATCTACACTTGAAACAAAAGATCCATTTAGAGAATTTTCTCCAAAAATTGTTACAATAAAACTTACTTTACGACACATCCCCTGCATTTATCTTCGAAACAAAAAAGAAATCGTAATGATAACCCAGATAGAACAAGAGATATTGCTCCGGCATAATGGGAAGCACATGAAAATTGTCGTTTTGAGAAATCGAGAAAAAACGTGGACACACATTTTTATTGCAGAAGATGCAACAAGACAACCTCAAAACGCACCAGAAGCATGGTCTGAATGCATTCTGTGCTCATGCCTCCTCTTCACTAGCTTCCGGAGTTCCAATGAGGCTGTTCTTTTCTTGTTGGAGACAATGCTGCGACGGTGGTCTTTTTCTCTCGCTCTCCTGGCACCAGTACTTGTCGCATTCATGTCCATTTCACCTAAGATTGCCGTTGCAGAATTCAAATTGCCCGTGTTGAAGCGCAGCACTGCTTCTGCAACAGCTGCTTCAACAGCGAACAGGGACGCATGGTGCTCCTTGGGGGCCAAACTCCAGATTACCGAATGTAGGCTCTCGTTGGAGTTCTGCGTTTCGCCGCGTTCGCACCTCTGAAGCAGGGCTCTTTCCGAAAGCCGGGTATAAACCGGTAGTAATGCCTCTGCCACGTCTTTCGGTAGATTGTAGGCATGCCTGGGGTCGGGCTCACCCTTTGCTTTTGCGGCATTGTGCCGACACCATGAAGTTTTCACCAGCTGGGCACAGACTGTGGTCCGAGCATTCATCAGTGGAGGTGACGTGGCGGTATGTGGCCATCACAGCTTTTTGCATCTCGCCCACGTCACCTTCATGCGATTTCAGAGCCCGGCCATAATATGTGCTCAGCCTGGTGATCAGCTCACCTGTGAGCCTGCCTTTCCCACCAAGGCCTCTTTTCCCATCGCACTTTTGTTTCTGCACCAGGTTTCTCAATGCGGTGCCCATCCGTTTCTGTACATGATTAATACAGTCTTCCTTCTGCACGTCAATGTAACCATACACCTTGGCGTCTTGTATGGCGCAAAATGTCCTAGAGTCTCCATCAGACAGCATAGTTGTGTAGCGCAGGCCATGGCGTTCAAGCGACCTCTGAAATAGAATTAGAGCCGCCTCCACTTCCATTTGCCCCGCTTTGCTGTTCGTATTTTTTTGGCATTTGTGGTTAGCCTTCCATTCTTGATAGCCCTCACTACTAGGCTTTGGGCCCACCTCGCAGCCTAGGCAAAAGTTGGAAAGAACGACGTAGTCCAACACGTAGCCACTAAATAATTCGATAACTGTGCCCACGCCGATGTGGGAAGAATGGCCTCGTGTTCTTCAAATGCTGCTGAAACGTCTTGTGGTGCATACCGCGGTGTGAGATGCCCATTGTTGCGAAAATATCGTTCATTTTCGTTTGGCCTGTGCCGGTAGCCACCATCGCCCTCGAAGTGAGAAGATTTACTTCAAACGGATTGCACGTTTTCGTGCCGTTCGCGTGGGGCGAAGTCCATTCATTCGCAATCTCGCCGCACCTTTCACACTGCACTAGCACTTTCACGGCAAGTCCGTAGTCCCGATCCCCTCTGACGATCGTAGCCGGTCCGTGGCAGGCTTTGCAACACAAGGCACCCATTATCGCGTTTAGGATATCTAGATGCATAAGCAGATAAGGAGCAGCGTGGTCCGAGTCCTGTGCGGTTGCCTCGCTACAACTCGCGGTGAAAAAGTCAATTTTCTGTGCAGTTGCTGGCGCCGATGAAAGCCGGTCGAGCGTCGCTTTCTCCCGGGCATGATTTTCTTCAACTTCGGTGTTTGTCACCATCTTGGCGTCGATTCGTAGTCGTCCGGAGTTCGCTTCACCGTCATCGTCGTCGGAGGCAACGCGCTCGGTCGCACCATCGCTGAACGGCCGCGGAGCGTCGACACATCGTTCGTCGGAGTCAACCAAGGGCTCTGATGACTTCGTAGACTTTCTCCCACGACCTTTGCGTTTCCTGCGACCAAATGCGTGCACGGTCCGATACTTTTTTGCGTTTCCAGGCATGGCGATACGATCAGAAGCTTCAGAGTGCTCTGCCGATTTCGAGGCGTCACCGCGGTAACCCTTTCAAAATGGCGTCGGGTCGCGTATGCAGGCGCAAGCCGCGAGCTTCCAGCCAACCGGAAAACGCCATTTCAGTCACGTGCGCCGTTTAGCCAATGGCAGTGAGCGCGGCTCTTCGTCTTTGAGGCCCCGTTTTTCGAGCCGGGGAAACGCTCAATGTTGCTTACTGAATAAAAAAAAACAGCTGAAAACGCGTTCTTTCAAACAATACTAAAATGGCGCCGATCGAGCACGTAGTTCCCGCGTATCGTAGAGCCGAAACCTGCGCTATTCGCCCTCAATTTAAAGGACAGGACGCCCGTTTTCGGTTTTTTAAAGTTGAATAACGA